TTTCCCTTTCCCCTCCCCTAACCTTTTCTGAGAGAGTTGATTTTTCTTTTAATTTGGGGAATATTTTTAGCCGGCTGTCTTCTCTGCCTCATCTCCTCTCAGAGTGTGCACGGTAGATAACTAGTTGTGTTCTGAGAGAGGTGACCCCCGCTCAGTCTCTGTGAGTCCCCAGTGAATCACCTGTAAATAGAGGCACTGTGCTGGGGGAGGAAGGCGGCCCGAGTCGCCTGGAACTGCTGCCCTTTGCTGCCGACCCTCTGGGCCCGTTCCTCAATCCCAGTCAGACTCCACATTTTTATTAAAAAACTCAGGTTGGGCTGGACAGTGCTATCGGGTATTTGTTACCTTGCTTATTTCCAAACTGCTCCTAACCCTGCTGACCTGGTGGTCGTCTGACCTGAAGGATGCTGAGAACACTGCTGTCTGCTGTCATCTGTCTTTCTGCTGCACCTGCAGGGGGCCAGGCCTGCGGCAGTGCCCGGCAGTCACTGGGGACAGTGTTGAAGTTACTTTTTCTGAGAAGCTCTTGCACAGCCAGTCCAAAAGAAAAGGTCCCTTCCTGGTGCCCAGTTTTGTCCGAGTTCGTGGGGAAGGGCCCGCGGCTGGTAGGCTGCAGCTCACAGAGCAGCGGGCTTAGTTTGTTTGCATTTTAACAGAAACCTTTAGAAAAAGAAAACAGATTTGTTTATCTTCTTGGGGATAAAAATAAGCAGGTATGGCAGTCCCGAAGCCACTCTTTGCAGCCGCTGCAGCAGTGACATAGGGTGTTATTAATCTATAGACTGTAGCTCACTTGTTCTGCTCTAAAAGAATCCCACCCTGGAGAAAGTGTTGGAAAAGAGACCTTTGGCCTGGCTTCTGTAAAAAGAGAATTGGTTTTGGAAGTTGACTGCAGGGAACTGAGAAAGCCAGAGGCCCGCCTGAGTCCACGCTGGGGTCTTCATAGGCACAGCTGGAGCTGGGAGCTCTGGGTTGGCCGACCAGGCAGCTGTAGTCCTGAAGGAGACACAACACTCACTGCCTCTCCGAGGCAGGCGTCCTGCTCCTGTTCACCGTGGACCAGTGCCCTGGTCCCTTCTTCCTGCTCTTGGCTGAGGCTGGGGAGTGGATGGAGTAACCGAAGAGGACTTTCTGAGTTTAGCTCCCTGTGAATAGTATCTTTTCCTTGTCAGTTCACAGGCTGGGGGCGGAGTTGGTAGCTCTTGGCATTGTCTCGTGGCAGAGGTGAAGTGACTGAGAGCGTGTCCAGGTGGAAAGTGGTAGTGATTCAGACAATGCAAACTGACAGCCAAGTAAAAGAAAAATCTTTGGGTTTCTTAAAATTGGCTAGTTCTTCCAAAGGCAGCAGCTAAAAGAAGATTTGAGGCAGATGGGGAGGGCAGGAGGCTTGCTTGCCACAGGACAGTGACACTCTCTGCCCCCATCTCTGCTCCACTCAGCCCTTGCTCGGTCCCTCTGCGGTTAGATTATTCCTTGCAGATAGCAATCAACTGGAAGGAAGTGTGTGTGTCTAATTTGCATCAGATTATTTAAAACAAAAAAAAAAAAGGTCTGCATTAGTCAGGGTGATGGTAAACAACGCAAAGAGATGCCTTTTTATAATATAGCCTGTGCTTCAGCTTTCAGAGCCAAATATAATCCACTTACAATTGGCGGTTTCCTTTATTACTCCTTTAACCTTTTGGATTCTGCAAGGTCTCAATCTCAGCTCTCCACTGTTTGTCGTGGTGCAGTGGGTGGGAACCTAGATGTCTTACGTGTGGGGCCTGTGGCTGTCAGTACCTCATCCCTGAAGGCAGGGTCACTTCAGCACCGGGAGCCAATGACTGGGGAGATCACTGTTGTGTTCTGAGAAAAGTGACCCATTTCCCCCCCCAGTCTCCATGAGTCTCCAGGTGAATCACCTGGTTTGTAAATAGAGTCCTGAACCTGGCTGATCTTCCCTAAGCTGGGAACACTCCAGAAGAGAGGTCACTAGGGGAAGATGAGGTACCAGTCTGTGAGAGGCCTTTGGATTTACTGGGGGTTAGAATATTAGACTGAAATGGGACACTCCACCCTTACCACCCAGGTGTTGTTCAGAGTCCTCCAGGTGTCGTTTGCAGACAGGCTCCCGGCATTGCGTTCCTGTGCAGCTTTGGCACAGCCCCGCTAGGCTCTTACCTATGGCTGGGGTGGCAGGGTGGGGATGGGGAAGTCAGTTTAGTCCCTCTCTAAACCTCTTTAACAAGATTGAAGACTTAAGACTTAATTTTGGCATCTGCCATTTGATGTAATTCTGTACCGTGGTGGGGAGTCGCCGGGCCAGAGGTGGAGAGCTGTGGGCTGTTACCCCAGCAGCACTGCACCCTAACTAGTATGATTTGAGGCATGTTCTTCACTCTCCTTGGGCTTCAGGTTTTTTTGTCTGTTAAATGAAGGCAATGGCTAAGATAATAGTATTATTATATTATAGAAATTATATTATTCATTGGGATCATTAAAATGCTTATTTTTTAAAAAGAAGAAAAATGATTCATTTTATGTAACTAAATCAAAATCCTGAGTCTCTGGATAACTAGGGATATCAGAATTCCAGCCAATGCAAATTTAGAGCTTCAAATGATAAGGTCTCTGAAAAACAAGAGCTTGAAAGGAAGTGCTGATGCCCTTTAAACCACAGCTTTACCAGTGGGCTCGGCTGCAATAATGCGAGGAACATGTTTTATTAGGAAAATAGGTTTCGTAAAAGCTCAGGGCTAGAGGGCAGAACAGCGGGCAGGGAGTCCTGTCCCTTTAACCAGCGCCAGCTCTCAGGGCCCCAGCACAGCCTGTGACTCACTGTATATTTCCCCAGCGTTAAACATTATCGTACTTGTTTATATTTGAAAGAGCCAAAGGGGAAAATGAGAATGCAACTGAATGCTCCTTTTGGGAAAATTATCCTCATTTGCAGCCAGCGGCTGACAAGGCACACGAACCACCGGGTCTGTGAAATCCGTGGTGCACCAGTGACCGTGGGCTTGGGCTGATGTCGCATGTGCGGCTGTCTCCTCCAGCGGCTGATTAGGGGCTGGTCAGAGCAGGGTCTTTCCTATTAGAACTCTGAAGGGGTTCCCCTTCCCATGTGGTGGGAGTGACCAGCAGTGTCCCAGGCTGGAGCCCGAGAGGCACACACTCAGGGGAGACGAGTTCTCTGCTTTCGCCTGGCTCGTCTGCCTGTCCTACCCCTTTCTTCTTCTCAGGACATGAAAGGACAGTAGAGCAATCCTTTTGCAGCAAGCTGGGGCATTTGGGAGGCGCAAAGAGGAACTTGTCCCCGTGCACTCCACATACTCGGGTCTAGCTTTGGTATTTGAGGCTGTGCAGCACCAGTGGAGGACCGTCTTTGTGCCCTGGCAGCCTTTCCATCTGCCTGTCAATCTGTTGAAAGCGTGGTACACTCAGGGCTAGCCCAGCGGCATTCTGACTTCACAGGGTGTGGCCCTGCCCACCACTGGCTGACTCTACTGTGAGCCCAGGGGGAGTGGGGAAGAGCTGCAGTCTCAGTGGGGACAAACCTGAACTGCTCAGTGCACAGTGGAGCAAAAAGGGTCTAGGACCACTTAGACCAGCTCAGACATTGTCCTCTGACCGCCTGCGGGAGGGCAGGAAAAGTTTGAAAGCTGCCTGCAGCCAACTCACATGCCAATATGTTGTAGGGCAGCACTGTGCTTCAGAGCATTAATGTCTCCATCTATTAGCCCCTTGGCACAGAGCGCCAGGCACCGTGCTTTGAAAGATGCTGATCCTCAGAACCTCCTGCACTTCAATCTACCCCCAGGGGCAAATATACCATGCTGTGGGCTTCTAATGGAGAGCTGCAGACCAGATGTGGAAGAGCTCTCGGCTCTAGTTTAAAAGCTCTGGGTTTCGGCTGGCCTGGGTAGTGGGATTCCCGGCACAGCACCGGCCAGCCGCAGCGCTGTGTTGCAGACAAGTACTGACCTCCCGCCTGCTTTTCCCATTCTCAGTGGCTGGAGCCCTTCTGTGCACACAGGCACTTCCCGCCCGAGCTGGCCCTGTGGGAAGGTGTTTCTCACACCTGTGTGCCACACTTCATTCCTATTCTTTGGGTGGGTGGTACACTCGGCCTTTTCCCACAGAGCCAGTGTGGCCCGTCTGCCTCACCACTGAAAATATTCCAGCTGTGTGTGCCCGCTGGAAACGTGGTCTTCATGGGTTTCCACTTGCCTTTGATTCTTCCACGGGCAAATCCTCTCCACACGGCATAGCCGCTGCAGATGGCACCCTGTTCTTTCCTCACATGCCAAGTGCAGTGCGGTTTAGAGTGTCAGGAGGATTTTAAAAAGGTGGGGGGGGGGGGAAACTAGCCAAAGGCAGTATAAGCAGCCTACGATAGGCTAGAGTAATAATCATCAGAAAGTTTGGGCCTGGCCTTGTTTTGATCTGTTTTCTTGTTTTATTTTCTTCTTTACATTCTGTATCCCATTCATACTAATCACAGTCAGTCCTGATTTTTCTTTTTATTTCTGCATTTGTCATAAAATAAAGCAAATTATTCCCGTCTTCGGAAACGATCTAGACTAATTAGTCGTCTCACCCAATAATTAGTTTTTTGTTTCCCTGTCTGTTTTCATGCATTATTGTTAGTTTTTTCCCCTCTTTTTTTTAACACCATTACAGATTAAAATGAGCCACATTTGCAGTTGATGGTATCTGTTTTCGGGGGAAGAATGGAGAATTGCTGTACGGAGCGACTTCAGAAGCAGCAATAAACTCAAGGATAAATTAAGGAAATTGAATGAGCCACATTTGGAAGCAGTGTTGAGGCTAATATTCTGTCGCTTAAGGTTAAATTGCAACTGAGAGAGGTTCCAGAGAATCTGAAATTGGGGAGGCAGCTTACCAGAATGCTAGGCATTCTGTGGCTCCGAGGCGCCTTCTCAATGAAGATTTCATTGGAGCCATGGACAGTGGCACAAGGTACTCACCTGCAGTTATGTCCTCTTTCCCTCCAGGGCTGACAGATGAAGAGGTTGACTTGGCTTTCCAGCAGTCTGGCACGGCTGCCGATGAGCCTTCGTCCTTGGGGCCAGCCACACAGGTGGTTCCTGTCCAGCCCCCTCACCTCATTTCTCAGCCATACAGTAAGTCACCACTCAAACCTACTTTAACCTTGACTGGGATTCAGGACTGACCAAGGAGCGAGCTTCATGTCTCCCAGGCCCAGCCGGCCAGGAGAAAGTGGGAGAAGTTGATGGCTCTAGGGTACTTTAAAAGAATGTGACATACCCAGGTCCTCCCCTAGACAAACCTTTAAGTGTGTGACACAGGTTTAAGAGGAGACAAGATCAGAATAAACGAGGTTATTGTGTTGTTTCGAGTATTTTGGTTATAAACAAGAATCTGAAAGTATTGTTGGTTTTTTCCCCTTCTATCAGTGCTTTTGCATGGCACTGTTTCACTAATAAGAACAAGAACACCTGACTCATGAGTGCATTCCTGTTCGCTCACTGAAATCACTTATCTCCTAATTGTATTTTTTAAAGTTATTATGAGTAGATTTGGGCTGGCCTCCCCCTGCTTTCTTGCTTGCTTCCCTTCTTCCCTTGTCCTGACTATACCATGTGTGTGTATGTAGTGACAGTCATATTTATGTAGAGAGTTTCAGATTAAATGTAAAGGTCCTTTTTGAATGTAGCTTTTAATTACATGAGAACATGACCCATGAGAGATTTTTGTTATTTTTAAAAGAAGGCTATTTTAGGATTAAAGGTTCTTCAAACTAGTAATAAATGTACATCTCCAAAGTACAGCCAGAAACCTTTCTTGATAAAAGAAAGTCACTGATAAAAAGTCTAAAACGGTTAAAATCAACTCCAAAGTGATGGAAAATAGCTCAGTTTTGTGGCTGTCATGTAACTGAGCCTTGGATCTATTGCCTTTCAAAATGCCTTTTCTATAATTGCCTTCATTTTAATTGTCTGTCTCAGAAGTTTTGTTTTTTTAAAACATGATTTAGATATCAGAGGTTGAAAGGCGTGATTTAAAAGCCAGACTTGTTTTGACCCCCAGCATGAGGTCTGGGGCACCTCCTGGTTCCTGCTCTGCTGTCCTGCTCACCAGTGGAGCCACAGCTGGGGAGGTGCCGTCGTCCTACGGACGGTGTGGGGGGCCAGGCAGTGGGTTACACTCTGCCTTGTGTGGCACGGCTCTCATTTAGAGGTCTGTCTTCTGCTTTCTGGGTCAGGCTGGATGGGTGAGGCCACATAGCATGCACTCGGATTTGTCTCATCTGGAGCCACCTTGTCTAACAAACCACTGGCGCTGGGTGATCTCTAAACCCAGAGAAACAGTGCTCAGTGCTCAGCCTTGTCTTGGGGCTGTTGAGACGGTAGCAGCCACTTGGCACCTTGGGCCTTCTTCCTTCTTCCTGACCAGCGTTCTTTCTGATCCATTGTGTTGCTTTGGGTCACTAAGCGTACTGTCTGTGTTTCTTTTTAATCAAAGGCTAGGTCTCCACACTTTTTCTTTACTTGTGTCCCTGGGCCCAGCCGTTTAATGGCATTTGTTGAGGATGGGCAGTGGCGACTGGGGTGCAGAATTTTCTAAGATATGCATCTGTTCAATTCCAGCTGTTTCCTCCGTGGCTTAATACCAGACAGGTCTCTCAGCTACTTGGAAACTTCTTGCTCAAAACAAACTGTTCTGGTTGGTCGCAGAGTTGGCCTAATTAGTCCTGTGTTTGCCTGCTTTCAGTAGGCACAAAGACTTAAGCTGCTAGTCTTTCTGAAAGAGGTGAAAGAATGGAGTGGGGAGGGGCAGTGCAGTCATGTAAATCATTTTCCTGCCCAGATCTCTCTGAGAAAAAGCATTACAGTTTAGGTATTTAGGTAGGAGTATTTTTAAGAGTCTCCCAGCCCTAAAAATAAAATACATCTTCTTAGAGACAGACTCCTTCCTGCTTTGACACCGGTATAAAAACAGTGGTGATGGCAGTTTTAAATATCTGAAGTTTTCCGTTGTCCCCACCGCGCCTCATTCTTCTCGTACCGTTACACGGCTCCTCTCCGCTCCGGGGTGACTCTACCTCCTCACTCCTGTACTTTGGCCAAGAGGTGTCAAAACTGCTCCAAAAAAAAAAAAAACACACAAAAAAAACCTTGATTTTGATTAATATAGAGAAACAAGACTTTGCCTGACTGATAATAAAACTGATAAATGACATTTGAATTACTTGTAGCGGTAATTTATTACATAAAATATCTTTTATTTGACATGCGATTAGTTGCTGGAAGCATCACTCAATCTGACTAGTTTAAACATGCTCTAAAATGAACCCCAGTAAAAAACCAGGGCTGTCTGCTGTTGGCGTTATGAAATATACTAATCCTGGAGTGAGGAAAAAACCTGACTTTAAATATTTAAATGATTAATTGGGTTTATATATATTTTTTTACCTTTCTAACCCCCTTAATTACAAGCAAACTCAGGGGAGTTTCTGAACTAGGTGTGCAATCTGCATGCTTATCACTGAGGCATTGTCTGCATCCTGGAGGGATTTATGGCTCCATTCACGTGTGTTCCTGCCTTTTTACATCTAGAGCCCTTTCCTTCCCATGTCTTGGCATTTTAAGGACATTCTATCACTGAGCCCAAGCCTAGAAAATGAGATGCTCTGGGCTTGGCCCCGGATGTTCTCTTCTCTGGGAAGGGTAGCCTTTCTGAGGCCGTTCCAGGGAGCCCGGTTCTCCCAGATTGTTCCCCCTGGACTTGCCGCCCTTCTGCCTGGTGGCAGATGTGTCACTTGGTGCCTCTTTTGATCTCTGCTCCTTGGTGAACGTGGTTGATCTTGCTCTGTGAGTGAATGTCTGTGTCAGCAGAAAGAACCTGGAGACCTGCTAGTCTGGTCCCAGTTCAGTCCACCAGTGTTTATTAAGCACCTACTGTATGCTCAGCATGGTATAGTGAGAGATTCAAAATATGATCTTTAAGAATTGTGCAAGCTCTCTGGAAGACATAAGATAAACTCTTAAGAAAAGGATAATAATATAAGACATTATGATTTAATGCCAAAATTAATTACATAGACAAGAAATTCCACAAGAATACAGAAAAGAGAAAAATTCATGTGGGCTAGAGAAGTCAGAGAGCTTTGTGGAAGTGGCAGGAGGTTGACGCCAAGAGGAAGCTGGGTGTCACCTGGTGTGAGAATAAACCAGTGTTGTCAGAGCTTAAAAGAAAGTTGAGTAGAGCTCAGGAAAAGTCAGGCTGGGATTTGAGAGGAAATCTGACATTTTCTGTTTCTCGTTGTGCTTTCTTTTGTTCACCTTTGGATCAGGAGTCAGTAGGTGTGTATGTTCACAGTGCCTAGCCTAGTACTGAATATAAAGTTCTGGAAAATGCTTGATTGATTTATTCTAAGCCGATTTTTCTGCTTTCCTCCCAGAGAAACAAGAAGCGAGGTAGCTTCAAGGTAAAGGCAGGGCCTGTGTGAATTTTGTGGGGTAATGATTTTTTTTCTAAGGCTTAAATATTTGCCCCCACTGTCTTTAGTAGGAAATTTAGGTCGTTCAGTTGCCTCTTCTTAAAATAGGATGTAAATGTCTGAGGATGGTGACAGGCTTTGACATTTGATCAGAAATGCTGAGTGTTCTTTCTCAGGGTGCTTCTTTCATAGACCCGTTTAGTAACATACTTACCCTTGATTATCTTCATTCAGTGAGCAAGCATTTAGTATTGAATGCCTGCCATGTGTCAGGCACTGTGCAAGACCCTTGGGATGAGAAGATTAATAAGGCCTAGTCTCTGTCTGCAGTTTTTCCTGTCTAGTGAGAAAGACTGTTTAGCAAACAACAGTGCCTGTGAGGCAGGCGCAGGTGAGGACAGTGGCACAGACAAGGTGAAGCGTCATTCCAGAGAGCAGGGAATGCTTAACCAGATCTGGGAGGTGACTGGTTCATTGACCAGACAGGAAGGACAGGAGCATCCAGGCTAGGCACAGCACATGGCCATGAAACTGGTGATGCTTAGAGCGGCTGGAGAACTGATGGGAGTGTCAGAAAGGAGACCCGGAGAGAGGCAGCAGCCAGGTCATTACCGGTCCGAAGATAGTCGAAAGCAAAAATCTTTTTCCTTTGAAGTGCATCATCTAATTATCACCATATTATTCTTCAACAAATATTATAATTATTTGCATCATGTGAGCAGCTGCTGCATGAGCAGGTGGGGAAGACATCCTGGGAGTGTGCCGGCAGAGGCGTTTGTCCAGATGCCCTGCCTGTGATGCCTTCCTGCTCTGCTCTGCCGTCAGCCCCTCGAGGGACTCTTTCACATGCCTCCGTCCAACTGGTTGGGGTTCCCTTCGGCCTGATCTGTCTCTTGCTCCCCACTACACTACACTTGCATGTTTTTTCCCTGTCTTCTCTATTAAACTGTGAGTTCCTTGGGCTAGAGGATTTTTTATTTTTTATTTGTGACCCTAGGCTCTGACTTAGCAGGTGTTCTAGAAATGCGTGTAAGTGGATAAATGGTAGAAATATGCTGGAGAATTCAAAGGCTGTTATGTAATCTCATCAACTTGGGGGAGCGGCCTGGGGAACAGCCAGTGAGGCCTTCTGTGTGTTTGCATTGGGGGTAGAGGACAGCGCTGCCTCTAGGAGGCCACCTTTAACATAGAGGGAAGCCCAGTGCCTGTGGCCAGTATGGTGAAGACCGACCCAAGCCATCCTGCGTGGTGTGAATGGTGAGCAGTCTTGGAGTTTATGAATCAAGGAAAGCCCCAGGGGCCTAGTTGTAGGCAAGGCTTTGTGGAAGAGGCAGGACTTGAACTGGGCTTTGAGGGTCGGTAGGCCCTGGACCTGAGGTAGGAAGGAGAGCATCACAGGGAGAGGGGCCAGTGGGGGCCCAGGGGAGAGATCCGGGGCGTGCCCGCGAGTGAGAGGCCTGTGTGAACAGCCTCTGTGTTCCCACCAGGAAGTGAAATCGGGTGTCTCTTCCATTTCTCTCTGCCAGTTTAGCATACAAATCTCACTTTTTGCTTGGGAAAGTTACTGGTTTGTATACAAAGAGACCATTTGTCTAAATTTGAGGACATTGTGTTTTTGTTTCTTTTGTTCAAGTGATTGGTTTTGAATAGCAGCTTTTC